TGGTTAAATTTGATCAAACCCTTCTCTCTCAAGATCATGCTTAGCAAAAGAACCCATCCCATGATCGGGAAAATATCGGAGCTCCTCATCGGCGGCATGAACCGATCAGCGGCGGCTCCTTTCTTGGACGTCTTGATGACAAGCCCTAGAAGCCCACTCGATTTCAAGATTCTCCCTCAGATATCTCAAAGAAACAGCTCAAAGAGATTCTACGATGATAATCTTGGTGGGTCCGTTGGTCTAGGGATTGTAGCTGCACTCGAGAACTCAACCACTCGTCGAATCACTAGCGTTTGTAGATCGGAACCAAACCAAACCGGCCGGTCTGATCCGGTTCAGTTCATGAACCAAGAAGGAAGCTCAGACGAAGAAGACGAGGAGATGTTCGTAATGGACGACGAGGATTACACGTTGGTTACATGTCACAATGGACCAAGTGGATCTTGTAGTACAAGGGTTTATGATCGAGATGGGTTTGAGTGTTTCACAAGTAAGGTTAATGAAGATCAACATCGGGAAAGACTTTTCATGGTCGATGTCGGTACGGAATCTCCGGAAAGTTCGCCGGAGTTTCAGGGTTTGGGTTTCCTCAATTCGTGTTACTTATGCAGAAAGAAACTCCTTGGTCATGACATATTTATTTACAGGTAATTTAACAGCAAATATAACTTATATAAGTAATTTATGTTATAGTCATATATATATCAAACGATTTTTGTATTGATTTGAATATTATTTTTGTATGCAGAGGAGAAAAAGCGTTTTGTAGCACCGAATGTCGATCGAGTCACATAGCAAATGATGAAAGGAAAAAGAGATGTAAATCGAAATTTTCAACTTCTCCTTACACAGCCGGACAAATTTTCTCCACCGGAGTTCTAGTGACTTAGCCGGATTTCTTCTACCGAGTTCATACATATTATATGGGGGAGGGGGTATATTAAAATAATTAGGGATAAATAATCGGAGAGATAAATAAATTTAAAGTAGCATATGTTATATATGTATGACAAGTATATGTCCATATATGGTGGAATTAAAAGAAACATCATTGAGAAATTTTGGTGAGGTGGGGTAAAATGAAAATAGAGACAGAGCTAATTCTTGATCGTTAACATGGCGAGAAATGGAATCATGCTC